GAATCGAAACGGGCGGAGACGAAGCTGTTAAAGGCAAAGAAGATGTCGAATGAGCAAGATGTGCAAATGTTTCATCAATCAACGGTCCAATAAGTCCAGATGGGATGGAGGGAACAAAGCTGGAACTTTGTCGTGGTGTAAGCACTGTGTGGGGAGAACGTCGAGGTGGAGGCGGCGGGGCTGAATTGCCTCCTGGGAACCTAGCGACAGTGGATAAACGGTCAGCCTCGATAGCAGCAGCAGAGGCTACAGCGGCGGCTTCCTTCAATTTTTCAGAATTCGTCATGCAGCTATGAGATATGGAAGTTTCATCATTCATCACAAGCTCACATGAAGGTTCGGTTGATTGAGCAAGTCCGATTTTCATAGTGGGCTTCTGACTGCTTGTCGATTGAGAGATAGGTGGCAGGACAACAAGAATCAGTTCTGGCTTATTAAGTGCAGCTTGAAAAATCTCACGACTCCTATGGAAAACAAGGAATGAATAACGCATGATAACAATACCGAGGTATTCAGAGATAAAGATTAATTAATGGTGAGAAAATATTAAGAAAGTGTGATGAAAAGAGCAAAAATGTGATGATCCATATTGATAGTGCGCAATAGGCTGTTCAGCAATTGCATTTTCGAACGCGAAAAACGTGCCAGTAAATTAGCATCAGGAGGTTTTTTATTTAAACATTGCATAGTTGATCACATGAAAGAATAAAATGCAGCAAGGACTAGTTAGAGGTTGCCTGACCTTGTTTTCGCAACTTGGTCATATTGGTAGGAAGAGTTAGAGGAACACACCTATTCCAGAGTCCATTGTATGCATCAACATTTCCAGAGTAGGACCGTGGACGTGGTACATTCCGAGACGTTTCGCCGGCATCGTCAGTGAGTATCGTCATTCTTAGCACCACACAACAACTCGTCAAAGAGACAAGTGAAGCCCATCCTTTGACCAAACGTGTGCTAAGCAGTTTTGGTATCTCCCCTTCTGCTCTTTGCTATTCACATTTCCTATATCGTCCTATCATGCCGTGCATGTCACAATTTTTGCCGTGCTGATTTTTTATGTAGTGTGGTGTGCTCCTTTGAGCGGCATTCATGAAAACCCTTCACACTCCACTGTCGTC